GGTGCCCTTGGTACAGCGGGGCCTGCGCCTCCACCCTCACCGCCACGTACAGCAGTGGCGCCCGGCAGGACCGGCAGATCGTGAGCCCCTTTCCCCTCCTCGCCCCTCTGCCGCAGCCTTGCACCCGGGGCGTCTCTGCACCCCCGTGCCCGCCCAGCTCCTTGACCCGCCTCCACCTCCACCTCCGCAGGTGACCACGGACCTGCACCACCGCTGCACCGACAGGCACACGGGCACCTCGGCCTCCGCGCCTCTCGCGGCCGGGATGATGGCGCTCGCGCTGGAAGCCAAGTAAGCGGCCAAATGCAAAGTGCTCGCATGCCCCTGTTAAGTGCCCTCTGCCATGTGGCTGGGTCCCTTTGCTGGTTCGTCTGCTGAGACAGCTGAGGACCAAGCGCTGGAGACCAGGCGTGGACCCTGCCTAACCCCCCGTTTTTTCCTAGCCCTGCTCTGACCTGGCGGGACATGCAGCACCTGGCGGTGAGAGCCTCCCGCCCAGCCCACCTGCAAGCCGACGACTGGGCCGTGAACGGGGTCGGGCGCAAAGGTGAGGGTCGGACACGGCCTTTTGGAGCTGCAAACCACGGGCACGGGGTTGGGTCATCAGCTGCCCGGGACCCGGGGTCCTCTTCACTCCTGCTCCAGCCACGAATGGAGCCATCTCCAGCTGGACGCCTGTTTAGCCTCTCGGGCTTGCTGCGACAGGCAGGTGGTACTTGGGGGATTTGTTAGACACCTCTTCCTCCACAGATCGGGGAGCAATAGGCCCGTGTGAGTTGAGCAGCCCAATACCAAAGATTTTCCTGGGCTCTTCCCCCGAGCGACCGTCTCTCTCTTCCCAGTGAGTCACCACTATGGCTATGGGCTGCTGGATGCCGGCACGCTGGTGGACCTGGCCAAGAAGTGGCCCGTGACTCGGCCTCAGAGGAGATGCTCGGTCAAGGTCGTCTACTTGCCCCTGTAAGAGCCGCGGCCGGCTGGACTCGCCTCAAGCCCCGCGCTGCTGGGGGAAGGCCTGGAAGAAAGTCCGTCCGTGCACGGAGCGGTTGGGGAAAGCCTGCTCGGGGTTGGGTGGGCAGCGGGGTCCCGAGCGTGGCACTACCAAGATACAGCCCTTCGGGAGATGAGGCTGGGGCTGTTCTGGATGGGGCTGGTTCTTGGTACTGTTCCCTTTAGCGCCCCTCGAGCCGGTCCCCACCTCACTCAGAAACCTGCCTCCTCTCCGAAACCACCCTCCCAGCCTCTGCTCCGGCCCGGAGACACCTTGCGGAGCTGCCCTGTCGGCTCCCATTCCCCGTACACTCCTGCCTTCGCCCTGTGCTTGCTTTGGTCCCAAACCAACCCAGCAACACGAGACGCCCGAGTTGCAGCCTCTCTGCTTCCCCGTAACTCACCCTAGGGCACGTCCGGACCCCTGCATGGGAAGCGGGGACGGGACGGGTCTGGACCTCCCTGTTCTGTCTCCCGGCAGAAAGATCGGCTCGAAACTCTCCGTCAGCAAGAACGTCTCCAGCTGCACCGGGAGGGCCAAGCACATTCGCTCCCTGGAGCACGTCCAGGTGCAGCTTTCCCTGAGCTACAGCCGGCGAGGGGACCTGGCGCTCTCTCTGACCAGCCCCATGGCCACCAAGTCCACCCTGGTAGCCGTCAGGTGAGGGGAGAGCTGGGGGTGGGCGTTCGCTGGCTTCAACTCGGGGCAGGAGAGACACCGAGCGGCGGGGCGGCACTAAATCCACAAGCCGAGGGCTCCTTGAATGCACGTAGTGACGCGAGGGGTCTTGAGGCGCCGGCTGAGCTGAGACCCCTCCGGCAGGGGCTTGGGGTGGTCGGGAGGCACCTTCTCCAGAGCTCATGCCTGGTGCCGGTTTCTGAGCCCAGCCCTGCATCTGTTGTGCCCAAATGCCCCAGGCCCTACGACACCAGCAGCCAGGGCTACACGGACTGGGCCTTCATGTCCACCCACTTCTGGGACGAGGACCCGCAGGGCACCTGGACGCTCGTGCTGGAGAACAAGGGTGATGCCTACAACACCGGTGAGTGCCATCAGGCCGGGGCTGGCACCGAACCGTGGCTGGAGGTTGGGGGCGACGAGCCAGCCAAGGCCACGTGGCCAAATGAGCCGGCCAGCAGGGATGCCCTGGGCTCCTGAAAGCCCCGAAAGGGCTGACTCCCGTGGCGGTGACGCCCGCTCTGCGCGGCTCTGCATGCGGAGGGCCCCGGGCTCTCTGGCTGCGGGGGATCGGCCCCTTCGCCCCACCCTTTCCCCCGCAGGCTTCCTGACCAGCTTCGTGCTGCAGCTCTACGGCACGGAGGAGGACATGAGAGCCAGGCAGGTCGAGGCCTCCGTCGTGAGCAAGTGCACGCAGCGCGATGCCCAGGGAGCCTGCACGGGTGAGTCCTTACGCCAAGGCAGCTTGCCTTTAGGGGCTTACCCCTTGCGTGGCAGGCCAGTGAGGAGGTCCAGAGCAACACTGTGCTCCCAGGGGGCTGGCACGGTCACCGAGTGGCTCTGGGTGCTGCGCCGCTCGTGACGCTGGGACCACCCCCACCCAACCTGGGAGCCAGGCCTCTGCAAGAGCCCATCGAGACCCCTGTCTCCAGCCGGCTTGAGCAGCTCCAACGCAGGCTGAGCCCTGCAGCTCCCAGACATGCACAACTCGCATTGCACGCTGGCGGGGGCTTCCCCCGTCCCGAGCTCCTCTCGCCAGACGTGCCAGGCATGGCAGTGAGAGGGGATGCACCCTCCTTCCCCCCACCCCGCCAGCAGCCGCGATCCTGCCTCAGCTTCTTCCTAACCCTGCCATCTCCCCGCAGAGTGCAGCAGCCCCTTCTACGCCTTCCAGCGCCTGTGCCTCTCCTACTGCCCTCCCCGCTACTACAACCGCACCCGAAGGTCCCTGGGCACCGCCCGCCCCATCGGGGTCTGCACCAGCTGCCACCCGTCCTGCTACACCTGCCAGGGGGACGGCGCCAGCAATTGCACAGCCTGCCCCCCCTTCTGCACCTACGACGAGCGCGCCCACACTTGTTCCTCGCCGACGTACCCCTCCCCGCTGCCCGGTGGGGACGGAGGCACATGGAGCGGGGAGCATCGTGCCATCCTGGTGCTGCTGGTGCTGCTTTGCGGGGGTCCTGTCCTCCTCACTCTCCTCTACCTCGCCTACCGCGTGGCGGCCCTCGCCCGGTCCAGGAAGCAGCAGGCAGCGCCTTGCACTCCAGACACAGCCGCTGACGTGGAGCTGACCAGGCAGGACTGTGCTAGCCCGGAGAACAGGACTCGGGACTGAAAGGAGCCCACGGAGCAGCAGGCGCCTTGGCCACCAGCATAAGGCAGAGCTGGCCCCCTGCCCCCCTGGCTGTGCCCTGTCTTCTTTTGATACTACCCATGCCCCCAAAATAAATTTGTTCCCACTCGGAGCCGTCTGTCCTCTGCAGCAGCCAGACCCCGGGCACATCTGTGCCGTGTCAAGCCAACACGGGTAGGGCCAACACGGGTAGGGCTGAGGGGGGGCTTTGCTCTCCTCTTGCCTGCCAGCTGTGCCCTGCCAGTGCAGCCTTGCTTCCCCTGGGTCCCTTGCCCACCCGTGGCAGCACCGGCAGCAAAGACCGAAAGGGCTGAGACAGCTGCCCACCCTGCCCCATCCCTGCTGCATTGTGCAAAATGCAAGCGGGGAACCGAGGGCCAAAAGCCTTCGGCTCCTCCCTGCCTGTCCCCACCAGTGCTGGGGGCAAGACACAGGCACCCCATATCTCCTTGCAGCAACAGAAGCCATAGGGCTGAGCCGTGCGAGGGGGGAAATGGCTTTTATTCTGCTTGGAGGGTCTCAGCCCCATGGCTGGAGTTGGTGCCAGCATAACTGAGCGCAGGAAGCCAGGGGCCAGACAGCCACGGCACAACACTCTCCGAACCCAGGCCTCCGGACGGGGAAGGGCAGAGGTTGGAGTTACAGGCAGAGATGCACCGCTTGCCTTTGATTTGCGAGTGTGTCTGGCCCGGGCGTCACGTTGGGGTGGCAGGGGAAAAAAACCCACCCGCCCTTTCCCCCTGGATCCCTGTTGGGCAAGTGCTGCAGCAGTGCGTGCAGGACCCCGGCCCCCTCTCAGGAGAGCCATGCTCATGGGCTTCCTTTTCCCCTCTCCAGCTCTGTTGGTGTTCACGGTTAAAGCCCCTTGGCCCAGGGCCCGGCTGCCCAAGCGAGGGGGAGTAGCAGGACGCTGGACACCAGACACAATCTTCTCCCCACCCGGCTCCAGGGGGAGGTGAGACCTGCCCAGATCCAAGGCGCTGCCCCACACCCTGGTGCTCAGATTAGCCTTGGCCAGGCACCCACGACAGCTGTGCCGCTGGCCCACGGCAGGGTACCGGGGTGGGGGCCGGGATGCAGGAGCAGAAAGAGGAACGTCCCTTCCAAGCATGTCTGTGTCCGTCCGTCCATTGGCACTGCCCAGCTGAGGCAAGACAGACGGGCACACAGAGGAAGGGATGCTACCTGGACAGCACGGTGACGTCCCAGGGCCCGGGCACGGCCCCTTGCACGAAGCAGCTGGTCTGCGCTGGTAGCTGCGGGCGACCTGGGCATGACAGCAGGTCCCTCGAGGTCTTGAGTCGGAGGCTGCTCCGCTCACGAGGCTCCGTGCACCTCGATGCAGCCGCCCCTCAGTTGCCAGGGCTTGTCGGGGCCAGCGTGAGAGGGGGGGCAGGGGTGGTCCAGCTGCCAACACCCTCCGCGGGGGCAAAGAGGAAGCCGAAGCCCAGCTGGTAGAGGCAGAAGAGGTTGTAGGCCGTCATCGCCAGGGCAGGGAAGAAGGAGAGGCCGAAGCCGAAGCCGCGGTAGGCGCTGCTGATCCGGAGGCTGGCCCAGTAGCAGCATCTGCAAGGCAGAGGGCAGGGACTGAGGAAGACCCCCCCGGCCCCGGAGCCAGGGCTGCAAGGCGGTCCTTCCCACAGCGAGAGCCCGGCTCCTGCCATCCTGCCCACACAGCAAGGGCAGACCCGGCACAGCTTGGCGCCCGCAGGACACCCTCCAGGACCCTCTGACCACTCGATGCCAACCCGGTCCAGCCTCAGAGGCAGGGTCTGGATGTGCTTCCGCTGCCCCCAACGCTAACCAGCCATCCAGGCGGTTGGAGGGGAGACACCAGGTCCCACAGCATCAGTATAAAGACATTTGGAAACCAGATGCCGGGGCTGGGGGCACTGCCCACAGCTGCCAGGTGCTGAGGGGTAGCTGTGCCAATAGCAAGCAGCTGATAAAGGCTGCTGGCACAACCGTAGGGAGCTCCGGTGCAGCGGGGGCCGGGGCTTGGAGGAGGTATGGATGGGGAGCCGTGCCCAGCACCAAGGGGCTGAAGCTTGGGGCAAGAGGGGTGGAGGAGGAGGGGGCTGGGGGTGCATGGGGTGCAGCGATCTCTCACCTGCCGATGGAGAAGAGCCCGGCCAGGAGGGGCAGGAGGTGCAGGTGCTCCTGGGCCAGGAAGGTGGCCAGCACCACCGCGTTGAGGCAGAAGAGGACCAGCTGGTCCATGGAGCTGGAGACATAGAGCTGGTGGAGCCGGACGGGAGGCGCGTGGGCATCCAGCGGGTCCAGGGTCCCCGAGCAGAGCCTGGCCAGGGCTGCGAGTGCGACGCCTGCCAGGGGAGAGGCCTGCACTGAACCACGCAATGCTTGGCCACGCTTGGGGGGCACGATGCCCGTCTCAGCCATGACCCTGGGTCGCCGGCAGCAGGCCCTGGGCCGACCCCTCCAACTTAGCAAGGGGCAGGCCCCATCTCCTGCCCTCCCCCCAGCCTCATTGAGCTTTCCTCATCCGGATTAGCTCCCTGCACTCTCGGAGCCTCAGGCTCGGGTTCAAGGTCAGGCAGAGCCGGGGGGCCCGATGCGCTGGGCCCGCTCCAGAGCTGGGGAGCTGGGTCTCCCCATCCCAGATACGGGGCCCCAAACAAAGAGGAAGGCACTGGGTGCAATCGGGCCTAACACCCTAGAGCCTTTTGGCTCTGGGCTCATGGTCCTGCACCCCCGGGATGCTCCCGTGAGGATCCTACCAATGGACTGGTGGCTTCGGGATCGGGGTCAGGGGCCAGGGCTGGAAGCATTGCCCCGTGGGAGGGCAGGTTGCAACGGCAGCAAGGGGATGACCATGGGTCAGTGCCTGTATAAGCCCCTTGCTGGAGCCAGTGATGGACAAGGCAGCTGCCACGGCAGCGCCCAGCTCTGCTCCACATCCCCTCGGGCCCCAGCAGCCTGTGTTTGCAGAGAGAACAAGAGGCCCCGGAGGAATTCCCCGGGTAATGAAACTGTCTGCCCAGCGCCTCCCGGGAGAGATGGATGGGGCACGGCCTGGCTCCCCCGCGCTGAAACCACTGAGGCAGCAGGAAAAAAGTGCCCCCCCCGCGTGACTGCCGCCCGGCACGGGCCGGCGGGGTGGGAGACGGAGCGCAGCTGGCCGGAGACAGGAGCCCAGCCACGGGGACATCCCCCGCTCGGCTCATGCTGGAAATCCCAGCCGTGGCACGGCTCCGCGTTCCTGCTGCTCGGGGACACCCGGCTGCGCTCAGACATCCCGGGTCTGGCGTCCGTGGCCCAACGTTGCCCTATCACATCCCTGGGGGCTAGGGGGGCAGCACAGTCTGCGTGACTGGGACCTCCCGAAATCCAGGAACTGAGGTCTAACGGGGAGAGACCGGACCACGGGCTCTGCAGACCTGGTCCTTGCTGCCAGGGGCCTCACGGCCTCATCCAGGGCCTGAGCCAGCACCCGCTGAGCTGACCCCAAGGGGTTTTGGGCATGGCCCCCCCGGTCCTGCCCGCTCGGCCTTCAGTACCACGGCCAGAGCCTGCAGGATTGAGATGGGGCGCCCCAGCCCAGCCACAGGGGAGCAGCCCCCCGGCCTGGGGGGCAGAGGGCAGCTGGGCCCCCCACCCCCGGCGTAGAAAGTGGCTGCTGTCACTGGTGGAGAGCCCTCCTCCCATCCCCTGAGCCAGCGCGAGACCCACCCAGCAGCACGAGAGAAGGGGTCAGCCCCCAGCCCCCGTGGCAGTCCAGGGTCCCGTGCAACCTGCCCATGCAGCGGAGGGTGCTGGGGGCAGGGCTGGGACAACTGGCCCCCTCCGGCCTGGACCCACCGCCCCCCTCTTACCCAGCACGACGGGGACGCTGGCGATGAGGAGGCAGCGCAGTGCGAAGGCCAGGCGGCTGGCCAGGTCCGGGCACAGCGGTGGCTCGAAGGGCAGGAGGTGGTGGAGGCCGTAGAGGATCCAAGGTGCCAGGAGCAGCGAGACGAAGGCGGACGACATGGCCTTCAGGTGGGCAGTGCTGCACTGGGGGCTGCACCCCCTGCCTCTCGGCAGGCTAGGGGCCGGCTCCTCAGGAGACGGGGTGCCGGGGCTGGGGGGCGGCTGGTCATCCCCGGGCAGCGGGCAGGGGGCAGAGGGGCACTGCGGCACCTTCGCCGGCTCCTCGCTGGGGGCCGGGGGCTGCTCCCAGCATGGCGCTGCCCCCACGCTATCCAGGAAGCTCGTCTCTCTGGGCAGCACCACGATCACCGCGTCCCCGGGCGCTGCCCCCCTGCTCTCCTCCGGGGCAGGGCCCGGGGGGTCTAGCCCCACAACAGGCCCGGGCTCCTGGACCACTGGAGACTCAGGCCCCGGGGCCTGGCCCTCAGCCCTGGCCTCCAAGGATGCCCCGAGGCTGGGGGAGGCCCCCTCGTCCTCCTCGGAGGTGGAGCGCAGCTCCTCCACGGAGGACTCGGGGCTGTCGGAGACGGGCGCCAGCGAGATCTGGGTGTCGAGGTCCAGCCAAGGCGGCGTGGACGCTGTCGAGCTCCTGAGGCTGGCGGCAGCCGGCGGGGACCTTGAGGGTGGCCATGGCTGGGGAGGGGGGCTGCAAGGCAGAGACCTGTCAGAGCCCAGGGGGAAAGCAGGGCACCCTGCCCCTGCACCTGGGGCCCCCCCAGGGATGGTGCGGGGGGGCAAGCCCAAGGAGACCCTGCCAGTCAGTGGCAGAGGACCCAGGTGTCCTAGTGGCCACACGCTCTTGTGCTCTGACTATTGGCCCAAGCTTCCCGCCCAGAGCCGGGGACAGGAGCCCAGCCTCTCACTGCCCCGCTCTGACCACTAGACCAGGCCCCCGCGCCGGCCTCCTCTGCAGCTCGTGGCCGTGGGGCTTGGCCTAGCAGGACCTTGGGGCCAAGCCCACATTGCTGGAGGAGGAAGGACCTGGTGCAGAGCTCCACAGAGCGTGGGACCCCCACCCCCCAGCCCATTCAGACCTGGTGCCACTAGCACAGAGTCTTGCCCCTGCCAGCACCATCCAGCCCTGGCTCTCGTGGGCTGGCCTGCGGACCGCCCTGCAGCAGGGCTCCGTGGGGCAACCCCCAGCGGCTCCCGCCCTGGAGAGGGCGCAGCGGGTGCTGGGGGCCACTGCGGGCAGGGCTCCAG